CCTACAAGCATTTGTTGTTCAAAAACAGTATCTGAGTCACACAAACTAAATGAAAAATTTGACATTCCTAGTATTGGGATAGATTCACCTTTCGCACACAACAGTGTTTTATTTACACTTTTCAGCTGCTTAGGTTTTATCTTCCCAGATAACATGTCAAATATGTCTTCATCCAGGATAGTAACTGCAGAACCAGTATCAACCAGAAAACTCATTTGAACATCACCTATCTTAGCTTCAATAAACAAGCAACTTGGTTTTATGGTGTTCAATGTCATCATTGGCCTATTGGTAAATTTGTCAATTTCACCAGTTTTAAGGGCTGAATTGTCGGCCTCGAATCCAACCCGACCTAGTTTCCCGAATTTTTATTTGCATTGACTGAGTTAGAAGGAGCATTTTGATTCCGTTGATAGGGTTTTGATGGACATTTCCAATGAGGATGATCCATTTTCTGACAATATTTGCATTTGAATTTTCTTTCATTTTTCAGGGATCTAATTTCAGATGTGATTTGATTCATCATTTTTCCCATTTCTTCAGATATAATGGTAGCCAAATCTTTTTCAGAAATTTCAGGAGATTTCTTATTTTCAGAAACTACATGAACATTTTCCAGAAGTCTCTCATCACTTGCATTAGGCTTCCTGAGAATTGTCTTAGGCCCATCAAAAGCCTCATACTCAACAGCCAAAGTGATTGCATCATCGACACTTCTTGGATGTCTAAACTGAACATGTTTCTTGATTTCTGTGTTATTCAAACCTGAAATAAACTGATCAATTACATAAGTTTCCCTAGCAACTCGATCCAACTGAGGGTAGGCTTTTGCAGCAAGGTGTTTTAATGCATAACCAAATTCTGGTATTGTTTCAGTGTCTACGCGTTTGCGATTTTTGAATTGACATCTATATGCAGCTTCGCGTCCCGGAGGATTAAACCTTTGCATGAGAACACGCTAAATGTCATCAAATTCTCTGATATTTCCAGGGTCTAAATCTCTAAACACTTGTTGAGCATCCCCCTTTAAACTAATAGCTAGCTGCTGTGCTTTTTCAGCACTGGTCCAGCCATTGTACATAGAAACCCATTCAAAATGTTGTAAATAAATTTCTAGATCTGATGTACCATCATAAGTTTGTGGTTCTTTTTCTTTTCTTGCAAGTCTGGATGATCTAGAAAAATTACCATGATCAGATAACTCTTGGGGCATTGTTTGCATATGTAAGCGCGTAGGTGTTACTCCCCTTGATTGCGTTTCATACGTGTTGAACTGGCGCGCACGCTGCGGCAATACGTTTTTCTGATTTATTTCACCCCTTACTTGGGAACCCCCATGTAAATGTGATGAATGTAGGGACCTCTGTGTGGGCAGAGATGTAACAGAGTGTCCTTGATCACGAGGTTGTAAAAACCTTTCGTTACCCAAGGTATCTCTTAAACTCTGCGGGGCATGTGTGCGTGGTATGTCTCTAGAGTGATCTGAGTCAAAGTGCACCCGTGCAGGGATTTTTGGCAAAGTATTTTGACTGTCCGAAATGAGTCGAGTGCTGGTAAAAATATTTGGTTTTTGTTTCTGAATTCCACTTGTAACTGGAGTTTCATTTGCATTTCCAACACCAAAGTTCCGAAATTCTGTTTCTGAAATTGATTGATCTTGTTGTAAATTTTCATTGTCATGTTCCGAAAATTCCGAAAGTTCAGGAAACATTTCTCTAAGTTCTTTTCTAACATCTTCTCTAAACTTTTCTGTATCGGGTACACTCAAACCACTCTTTGTTTTTATTGTAGTGCAAGTTGGTTTTGGTTCAGGGGAATCTAAGTCATATTGTAACAAACAACTTTCATTGACAAGGTCACCTGTGAATGGACTATGGCTATCTTTAAATGACATTGACCGAGTTTCGTCTATTGTTTGATGCTTTGTGTGAACAGGTGCGATGTAACTCTCGCCAGCTTGAGAAGCGCATGCTGCACGATCTTGATACGACTCAGCACTTTTACCTGTACGACTAGAAACACGTGGACTTTTCCATAATATGTCTGAATCAGCAAAATACTGTTTAGATTGACCCTCGGGTTCTCTACAAAAATCTTCGGGTTTTGCTAAACCGTTTGAATACGGAAAATGAGACATTTTAACTCTGAAAACGAGTAGTTTATTGGAACAGATTATAACAAAACAGCTGACACTGAATGTGCGTGGGCGTGAAATACACAAATGGTTTTACTAATAACCCTGTAATAGCTCTTTATGTACATGTACGAGTTCGAAAAGCCAAATACAGTGTGCTCAAATCCTAGATAGACAGCACCATTTTTCTGTAATAGGAGTAAACTTTAGAACACCATTTTCATTAGTGGTTCTAGAATATTTTTTTTGTACACTCTCCTATAATTTCATGTTTATTATTTCCCAGGTTCTTATTTTGATTTGAGATTCTGCTTGGTCTTATTTCCGAACTTATTTGTACCTTAATTCAACACCTCATGTCAGTCGTAATGAACACACCAGTTCCAACAAACAACAAAATTTATTAACCTTTGTATAGACAAACAAAAAAAATATAGTATAAAAAAAAATAACAACTGTAAATTCCTGCCTTGTCAAAAAAAATCCCAACAACCGTATAAAAATCACCCCCCAACCTAGTGTACGGAAACGCTAGCCCAACCTAGCCGGGGGGAAAAGGCCTAGGGTAATTTAGAAAAACCCCTTATTTATTTAAGAATACCTTAAAACCTATCTCCTAGCTTTTAGAATTATGGCCTAATAAATTTAACAGGAGCAATAGACGACGACAATTTAGTCAAAATGCCTAATATCTTAACATAACAGGGTGCAACCTGTTAAATACCTAATAAACCTTTATTAAAGTGAGAGAACTTACAGCAAGTTAATGCTTTCCAAGATTCCCCACGTGTCTAACAGTTACACGGGTTTATATACTCTTTGGAAACAATAGAATCTTTAACTTGAAATCTAGTGAATACACCCCAAGGGTATGAACTTTGACTGAAATTAGTAACACCCAAAAGGTTAACTTCCGTATTGATAGCCAATGAGAATTTAGATCATCAAACATAAACATTTACCCGTAAGATTTGATGGAAGCAACACGTGCTATTAAGGTTTGTAAATATAAACAAAATAATATGGGGGATAAGGCAGTATACCAATATATGCATGAAAACATAAATAACGACATTACATTTAAAATACAAGGCATAAATGCATATAACAAAATTCATTCCTGCTACATACTGAATTAAAAGTATGTTTACTTCATAATTTAAAATTATTACATAATACAGTGCAAACCTAAGGGCAGGTGGGCATAATGTTTACCAAAATTGATGCCTTTATATCTTAAGTTATTACAGCAAGAAAAAAAAACCCACATGGTAGCATACATGTTAACCGACTGTGATGAAAAAGAGGGAGATTCAGATCATTGTGCACATTGTTTTACGCATCGATTTAAGAAAATATATATGTAAATATGGCCTAAAATGAACACTACATTTACAATATTATAATTAAAATCAAATATTAACTGCAATGAAATAGAAAAAAAAAACATTTGACATAAATTATACTAATATTTTTCATGCTCATATCACTTTGGTTTTGATTGGCTGCTTAATTTAACCTTTTGAAGAGTGATCTATGTTGATATATCCTGGAAGCAATAATTGTGAATGTTCATTCAGTAACCAAATACAGCAAATGATGACATTATTTAATTCAGATCTAAAACTAGTTCCTTTTTTTCGTAAGAAAAAAACATATTTCCTGCAATGACAGAAAACAAAAGTAGAGATGCAAAAAAAAGTATTAAATGAAAGCTGATTCCCTATTTTACTCTCATGAATGAGTTTCATCCAGTTTTAGTATACTATATCCCCTTTTTCTTGGTGGGGATGACAACGAAATTTGATGTAACTAATGTTTGCACCTGTCTTTGTCAAACATGTGCTTGAGATCTGAGTAAACATCGGTTAAAATAAACGTTTGTATGCTCCCAGTTCAAATCAAGCAATATCTAATAAGATTTTATGATGAATGGCTTTAAAAAGGCTACCCAAGCGAACCAAACATTGTTTTTTTAGAAAATCGGTAGATTTACGAATAAAAGCGGTAGGCGGGAGATGGAGTAAAAAAGCGGTAGACTTCCATCTTAAGCGGTAGAGTTAACATGTATGTTGGTAGATTTCTTGTAATATTTATATCATTTCTGAGAACATTGAAGCATATCCAAAGTATAAGCCGAGACTGATTGTTAAGGCAGTAGTTATTTTAAAATGCTTGACATCATATGATGTACAGAATTAATAAATGCTTTACCAGGAAAAACTCAAAGAGTGTGAGCAGTCGGTTCGTAAATATGAACAGGAAGTGGACAGCTTGACCTTCCGAAATCAGCAGTTGTCAACAAGAGTACTGATTCTCCAAGAAGAACTTGATGAAGCTGAAGCCAACAAAAAGAAACACAAGGTCCAATTTCACAACATGAAGATTGATGTGTTTGGAAGTTACATTTTTAATCAAATTACCTGATCTGTAGTGTTGAAAGAAAGTTAACTGAAATACTGTACATTGTAGATACATACCTGTTACCAATAAACGAGAACTAGCATTACATGTACCATGCATAGTAGAGTTAAAATATAATACAGTCAAACCTCGTTATCTCGAACTTGATGGGACCGAGAAAAAATTTCGAGATATCCGAGGATTCAAGATATCGAGGGTAAAATACTTAAAGATTATGTAGTTGGGAATCACTTCGACATATCCATGGTATTCGAGATATCTGTGTTCGAGATACCGAAGTTCAACTGTACATAATCTTTTAAAAAAAATTTCTATTTAAATTAACTCATTAAATTTAGAACACAATATGTCAATTTAAATTTGAAAATGAAGTATATATGAAGAGTAGGTAAATAATGACATTATCTGATTTCAGCATAAACATGATGCGACCCCGGTAAATCTTCCATCTCCTTCTTCAGTGTACAATGAAGAACTCATGAACAAGATACAGGAGAATGAAAGGCTTCATAAACAGGTCACCATAAATACTGTAGATTGGCAAATAATCAAGATGGCTTTAATTTCACTATGTTCGTGATTTATCATTTTTCCGCGAAATTAAACCCATCGTGAATGGTATTGTTAGTTTTTAGAAACGTTTAAATGCTTATACAAAATTAGAATTAATTTCTTGCAGTGTGAAATTAAAACAATTGCGATTGGTACTTTTTGAGAAATCGTGAAATTTTAACACTGTGGAATTAAAACGACTTACAGTATCACTCCAAAAATAAACAGGTCACCATAAATATCCCTCCAAAAATAAACAGGTTACTATGAATATCCCTAACAAAATAAACAGGACACCATGATATCCCATAAATATTGAGTATAGTGGAGTTTTTCAGTATTTTGTCTATGCAGAGGGCAGAGAGTAACCAGAAGTACCAGAGTCGATTGGAGGAGCTAGAGAAATTAGTCAAGGACTATGAGAAGAAATTCAGTCAGCACCAAGAAGTATTAGATAACACAGTACAGATGGACAAAGCCCAGATAGACAAATTACAGGAGGAAAAAGCCATGCTGGAGGTAATACATGGGGGAGGGGGGTGTCAAAGAAGGGTGGCTTATGTGGAAATGAAAAAAAAAATATTCTAATTAGAATTAAGGTAAAAGCAAGGTTAATGTTAATGTTAAATAAAGCATAATGGGTAGCTCAACTGTATACACATGTTAACAGTTGAGCTACCCATTATAGTTTACTGTTTGTACACTTAAAGATGTATATCTGATTTTTTTTTTATCTCAGACAATTTATCACCATCTATTATTTACAAATGTACAGTGTAAAATTTCTCAATTTACGAAAATTACACACTCTAGTTTTTATCTGTTCCAGAGAAAAAGAAATTGGAAGATTTAATTTAAAAAATTATTATTGTGGTTCCACAATAATGACTGCTGATAATGCACACATGTACACTAAATAGTTTTTCTTCAATCGTAAACCTGAGATTTCAGAAGTGCATATTAGGTGTTGTGGAAAGCTGATTAATTTGATGGAATCAGGGTACAAGAGCAGAAGAGCAGTGTTAAAAACAGTCTACTTAAATATTAATGAATAAACCAAATTTTTTTTTTACATGGTATGAGGTAAATAGGTGGTAAAACTAAAATTCTACTAGTAAACAAAAACAAGATTTTTACCTCATCACATGTTTGAAAGGTCTCATGTTCTTTTTCAATAGATGTTTATGCTGATTATTCACAAGTTTTTTTTTGCAAGCAGAGAATAATTTCTTTGATTACAACTTAGGCACGAGACATGTGATAAGTGGAAAGAATATTTTTAGTCATTTGAACATATGATAAACAGATCTAGTCGATAGTATCCATGTATTACAAAAAATACTTAGCACATGTGGACCATACATCTTTACACATGAAATGTTATGGCATTATGAGAGATATCCATTATGTCATTTTTGTGTATATGTATACTGTATACATTTTCGATCCTTTCGCCCTCGTCGCATTTGGGCGAATTTAAAATGGGGCGAATTCAAAGACGGCACTATCTCTTGAACAGAACTGTGTCTGGGCGAATTCAAAATGGGGCAAAATTGTTTGCAGGTGTGACGGGACGAAAATAAGATAGGGCGAAAAATAACCCTGTATACAGTATTCTGCCTAACTTTTTTATTGGTTCCTGCAGGTCAAGTGTCAGACAATGGAGAAGGAAATCAAAACCTGCAGGTCATGGACAGACATTGCGTAAGAATTCTAACCATCGAATATAGATGTGACATTTTAGTTCTAATAATTACAAATTAAGGGTACATGTTAGTCATACAGCAATATGATTTTTATAGGAACAAATCAAAGCATTGATATACTAAGAGTAATTGCCATTATTTAAAATCATAAAAGTCAATTACTCATATTCAACTGCAAAGATGTGTGTAAAAAAATCTTAAAAATTAAGAAAAACAAAGAACTGATAGTGTGAATTTATTATATTTTTAATTGTGTTTTCATATACCTGGAGAGAACCATGTGTACATGTATCATTGTATTTGTAGGGAGAACCAGTTGAAGACAGTACAGTTCCATTTACAAAGACAATTAGAGCAGGCCAACAAAATCATTGCAGACAAGCTGCCTTTCATTGACACAACTAGGATAGACTCTTGTTTTTCCTTAAAAATAAATCCACAGGGTTGTGCATAAGACATGGGGGTCAGGGAATTTCCCTGCCTTTAATGACATAATCTTCCAGTTATCCTGGCATTGCCCCTCTACTCCTACAAGGGGAGTAACCCAAGAAATCCTATTTTTAAATGTCCCCTTCTATATAATTCTTATGGACAACCCTAAATCCACATTATGGATACATTTAACAGCTTATGTTAAAATAAGTCATAGTGATTCATTTTTGTGCATGTTGCATGAATCTCGTAGAAAAATATTTTTTATGTATGTTGAGTTACTTTCTCTAAATTATTATTGTTTAATAGTTAAAAGTATATATTTTTGGACAAAAATTATGTTATTATCCAGAAAACAGAGATCTTAATTCTATTTAAAAATTCAATACTCGAGTATTTTTCTTCATATTATTTATTAAATATTAAATAATTCATTTACCGTATTTATTTTCAAAACACCCCTTTTTAAAATCCAGGGCTGTTTTCCTGATCATAGAATCTAGCCTAGCTGTTAAGTTAGACATGTTAGATATCTAGATTGTATTAAACAATAAAATGCTTTCCTCGGTTGTTAGTACAGTAATTAACATTGCAGCTGCTGCAGAAGAAATACATAACCCGCTAAACGGGTTATGTAAATTTTTTCTGCAATAGCTGCGACGTTAACTCTTGTATCAAAAGATTCTAGGAGCTATGTAGAGCTACTACGATCTTGAACAGTACAGCTCTGCAATCACCTACGAAACTATATCTACAACTTACCTTGCACATTTTACAGTTGGGCTTTGATGGACTAGTTTCACATGGGCAGTTTTTATAACACAGCTTGCAGAACTGAAAAGGATTTTTCTTTTTTTATCTTCTTAGCTTATATATTTATAATTTAAAGTTTAAAAGTTTGCATTCCTTTTAGACAGCGACTTCACCATTTCATATAACAACTGCAACAAAACTATTTCAATGACAATTTAAATTCCGTTTATACAGACTTAAATGCTTAAAATCACAAATTATTTCCTGGTTCCTCTGCATTTCACAAACTTTGTCCTACCTTGCAGTATTCAGTGTCCACAAACTGAACCTTTCGCATAATCTACTTTTTCTTGATCAACCTTCTCTTCCTCGTTGCTTGATTCTGCAGCCAAAGAAAGTGAAAACAGAGCTAGGAAACCCAACAAAACCAAGTAGCGTGTGTTAAGCTTCATTCTTCTTTAAATCAACTTTAATGTCTTTGCCTGTCACTATAGTCAATGTTGTGACGTGTACCTTGTGCTTCCTTTTCCGGGATTAGAAGAGGGGAAATTCGGAAGGCTAAGATTTTTAGATATTATCATTGGGTTTGGTTTTTTATTTCCTTTTTTTTTTTACCTTTCAGTACTTATGAATAATTAATTTAGGTAGAAAACACTACTGGGATTGTGAAAAATATGTGTTTTCAAAGTAGAGTTTTACGTTTTTTTTAAATACTTTTGTGAAGTCTTTTATGACTATTTACAGATATTAGCCCTTTCAATTCAACATGGCTGACCATGAATTAGATGCACTAGAGAACAGATTAGATATAATTGAAATAAGGTGTTTGGAAGCTCAGAGAAAGATGCATTTTATCCCAAGGTACGTCTCAACTTGGGGAGCTTTAAAGTAACTTTGATGCATTGTGGCATTTGACTGTATGCAATTATTATTTGATTTATTTATAATTTTGACATTTTTTAAGATAAAATAATATTGAAATAAAATTGCAAGCAACCAATTAAAAAATCTTAATTAAGCTTTGCCTTATTTAATTTTGTATAGCTAAATCAAGAGATTTTGTTGGACCTGATATTATTACGAATAATGTGGTGGTATTAGTTTTATATAATCATAATTATGATAATGACAGGTCCAGCACAATACCCTGGTAAAGGTATATACCTTGATAAAGCTACAAATGTATATAGCTTTATTAAGGTTTTACAAATACCTTGATCAAGGTATTTTATGTAATGAAAAATACAAAAAAGAAATAATATCAGTAAGAAAGCAAACACCACCTTAGGCTTCTTAAGACAGAATCTCCGAAATGTCCCAGAGCAATGCAGAAAAACCGCATATACATGTATATCCCTTTTTAGATCCATCATGGAATATGGAGCTACTATCTGGAATCCATACCTCAAAGGGGATATTGATAAAATTAGAAAAGATACAAAACAGAGCCATAAGATTTTTTAAAAAGGAATACAGCAACAGGAACCCGGGAGCAATAACATCATGAGAAAGAGCCTCGACATTGACACCCTTAAGGAAAGAAGAACAAGCCTGAGACTTACACTCATGTACAAAGTGGTTGAGGGGTTGGTGCCATCATTGCCTCCTCACTCATTCATAACAAAGGCCAAACCCAAACACCAAATTAAACCAGGACATTTCAGGGACCACCATACAACAAATATAGTCCAGAAACATGTGTGTAACAACAGCAAAGGCTTAGTCATACCCACCAGCAGAACACCACAATATTAACCCTCATTTTTTTGTGGACACGTGCATACACTGGAATCACCTACCGGACTCAATCGTGCGTGCAAAAACTACAGGAATTTAAGACTGCCCTACAGGAACATCGACGCCTGCAATAACATCCGGCGCTCTCTCTACTGTTGTAAAAAGCCATAACTGGATTCTACAATTTACAGATACAGATACAGACAGAGAAAAAAATCCTAAAAAAATAAATACTGATAGTCGAGTTCTGAGTTGTTGTCAGTAAATTCACTCATGCATGTAAACTACTCAAACACAAAGAAATCAGTGTAAAAGCATGTCGTGTGAGGAGACGTTCTTTTATGCTGTCTTTTTGATACCTGAGTACTTTTCAGGTTCGAGTGAACACACTGACCACAACTCATAATTCGACTTTTAAATTTAATTTTTTAAGATTTTTTTTGGTAATTTCATTACATAAAATACCTTGATCAAGGTATTTGTAATACCTTGATAAAGCTATACATGTATAGTTTTATCAGGCTATATACCTTTATCGGGGTATTGTGCTTGACCTGAATGAAGTACCAAAACATTTATCAGGTTGGGCACAGCCCAAAAAAGGGTCTTTGAACTCCCATCAATCTCCCATATTAGAGATGGTATTTACTGACTATTTGGAAGAGAAAAGTCGTTAATTCCATGGATTGGCATGAAATGGCGCATAATTTTAACCCATGTGGAATATAATATAGGTATTTATTGGTGTTCTTAATGAAAAAATCCGTAATTCATCGTGGAATTTTTTGCAAAGAGTTGTTCAAATATTTGACAAGATTTTCTAGTACATTAACCAGTGCAATATTTCTCCATTTTTACTTAAAAAGAAAAATCCCCTTCTTCCCCAACGACGTTGCACTTGTAAATTGTGTTGCTTACTTTCTATTTCAATCTTCTGGGCAACCAATCAAATAATGCAAACCAATAAATTCGATGAATGATGTTCTTTCTTTAACATGGTTTAAAGTCGGATTTAACTACAGAGGCACATAAGTGTTAATTTTAAATTAGGAAATAAAAAGAAAAATAAGTTTTTGCTTTTATTTCCTTTCATTTTGTACGCAATGGCATTATACTTTTTATAAGAGTAGGATATACAGTGAGATATACAGTGAGATTATGATATACAGGTAAACTTCGGTATCTCGACATCGGATATGTCGACAACCTGGGATATGTCGACATCCTTCCGCGGTCCCGGTAGTATTTACTATGTAAATGATTTGCAAAAACTCTGATATGTCGACCTCGGTAATGTCGACAACCCGGGTTATCTCGACGTATATTCACAGTCCCAAGAGCAAAATTTACCTGGCATATGTCGACATCGGCAATTTTCTGCTCTACTGAACCTAACTGTTTGTCAGATAGGGTCGCTCGTCACGCACGGACGACTCCGGGTATTTCGACGTCGTCAAAGTTTCACACCTTTCACACCCATGTTTTGACTGCACGCTGCTTTTAATTAATTTTATAGACTGTGTTTGTAGGTGAATCCCAAGCCCCTTCGGCGTCTTTGAGAAGTTAATAGAGCTTGGGTAATATCATTGCTAAATCTACACGATTCTGCGTAAATGTACAGAATTATTTATATCGAAACGTAACATAACGTTTAAATTTGAAAAAGATAACTAAATTACAATGAATAACAAACACACTGAAAAATTCAAACTAAGGAATTAAAAAAAAATGTTTTAATGATATTTTGTAGTTAAAATGTATTCAACAGGAAACAATCCAATATTAACGACACGATTGACCGAATCAGTCGTAATTCGTGCATCTGTAACATCACTACGTTAGTTTAGATACACAAATCTCTTTTAAAAAAAAATAATTTAAATGTACATTCTTCCTGAATGAAATAAGAAAAAAATAATCCGCATTTAATTTTTTTACCGTATATCGGATGTCGACTTTATACGGTTCGAAGTTTATAGAGCGCATTTCGTATCCTGTTCTGACGAAAAGGCAAGTTACACGCGAATGCAGGTCAATGCTGTAACTTTGTGCTGAAACTTTGTGAATTTAGAAAGAAATCGATAAAGAACACGTTTTATAAACAAGATTTTTAAAATAACTTCTCAGATTTTTAATAAAAATAGAGGGAATTCTGAAATATGTTGAGCTACGGTCTATATTAAAATCATGTACATATAATAAGCTTGTCTGTTTTGCTATGCAATGAAATCTTGGACGTCAAGTCTCAACTCTGATATCTCGACACCTCGGATATCTCGACATTTTCCGATGGTCCCGTCGATGTCGAGATAACGAAGTTTACCTGTAATTATTGTTTTAAAACGATGCACTTTGAATAAAAACAAGAATTGCAACTGTCACTGAATTTGTAAATCTTTTATTTAAAATCATTTATTAAATATATTAAATTCATCATTAATATGCATATTAAGAAAAGGTCACATGGAATTTGCAACTTATCCTAAAAGAAAAAAATAACAACAAATATTACATTCAAGTGTACAAAATTAA